CACATGACATCTGAGAACTCAACCAAACCTGGATTCAAAACACAACCTAGAGAGTTGCCCCTGTGGCCCCATGGGAGGCTGACAACCAATCAGAATACATTTGTTACACTGGAACAGGAAACAGAGGTGGTGCTGAACAGATTATAAAAAGCCCAGCTAGTCCCTTCCTCGGCCCTTCTCTTCTTCCTCACCCAACATTGAAGCACGTGATCACCTTTTCCGTTCAGGACTCAAGCCATGTGGTCCTGTCCACCATTAAACCATCTTTCCAAGCAGCCTCCATGTCTCCAGTGTCTTTTTCACCACTTGGAGCAGAACCCAGAAGGACATTTCTTTCATCAACACTCATGCCAAAAATGTCTTAGATTGATTCCCCAAACAAGAACTTAACCATAGTTTCAACTGGGAAACTATGACCATCCTAGCCACATTCAAAAACACTGGGCAATTCCTGGAAGCCTGGCACTCTGACAAATTGGCTATCAATTGACACATAGGAATTAAAAGCATCTACATACTGTGCAAAAGAGACAATCAAGAAACCAAAAAGGGAACCAAAAGACCAAAGCACCTCTCCACTAATAACCAACACCCATTTGAGCATAGATGAACACAAAGATTAACAATAAAACTGACAATGAAAAAATAAACAATATCCCAATCAAGAAACTACTAAACAAGCTAACAGTAAACAGCCCAACTAAAGAACCTCCAACACCACCCTCACCAACACTGACAGGGCACATCACAAGAATATAAATTGAAAGCAAACTCCACTCAACTACTAGAACAATATTTGAGGTGCCATGTCCTTTACCAGCAGGCCAATTGGTCTGAATTGTCTCTTTTAGAATTTGTCTACAACAGCTTTGATACATTCCTCCATGGAATTTATACTACCAGACATCTTGCCTTCCAGAATTCCATTTCCTTTCCTCATCCCTGGCAGGTTCCTTTAAAGGAACAATTAGATTTGGTCAAAGTTGCATATAAGCATGCCATGCAAGACGACCTCTGTGGGAGATTTGGTGTGGCTTTCCATTACGTTTTGCCTGTTCCTGGTGAATGAATAAGAAAAAGGAAAATGGAATATATTCTGGATTCTAAACATAGAGCAAAATTTATGTGTGTGTCATTCACTGGAAAGGCTATCCCAAATCAGAGAAATAGAGCGAGAAGGCAATAGATGTCCATATTCCACATACGGTATTCTAGTTCCTTAGGAAATTCTTGCACAATACTTGCCTCTGTTAATTGCAGTTACTATCAACAATGAGCTCTAGAATGAAGACACTTTAAAAAAGAACTTAGGCTCTCTGGTGTTAGGGGAGGAACTTTCCAGCTCCATCTGAGTCTACTCTGCCAGATTTATACATTGACTTTGTTAAGATGCCAGGCCCATTTGCAAGTGAGAGAAACAGGAGGATGTCTGTAGCCATTGAGAGTAATTTTAATTGCGGAGGTGATATAAAAGTGTTTATAGTTGTCCTTGAGGAAGGAAGGGATGAGCCACTAAGGAAAGAAACTGAGATTTCAACAAGAGCTATTATGCAGTCCAGAGGCCAAAGTATATCTGATAAAGTCACTCAAAATAACCACACCTTGATTTTGTTTACCATATTATGGCATAGAAAGTGGCCAGCCTTGTAAGATTTTGTTACCTTACAACTATCAAGGATCTTTCCTAATATTCTTGCAGTGTTTGTTTCTTGACCTGGCCTACTTCAAAGGGCTGACATTAAGCTATCTATAAATTGTGAAAAATAGAGCAAATAATTTGATTTGTAACATTTGGCAGAAGTTTCCTAAAGTTAGGGATGTGGATTAAGAAATTTTACGATCCTCACAGAAAGATAGTAAGTATAACACAAACAAACAGGGTCAAGAATAAATGAGTGCAGAATGAAAGCAGACTGAATACAAAAATAAATGATTAGAACAAAATAAATATATTATGACAACGTGCTCTTTCAGAGAGAATAAATGAGGAACAAATTTCCCCCAAAAAATATGAAGGAAGGGTGAAACAATTAAGATAAAAGGATAGATTGGAAAAGCTGAGGTTTGATGAAATAAATGAGATCCCCAAGAAGACAGAGGTGAGTAGTTTAAAGGAAAAAAGACAATACATTACTGTGTCTATGTTGTTAGAAAGCATGGCTTTCAGGGATAGAAGCACATGTAAATATACAGAAACCAAATTTAATAGAATTTCATTTTCTTTTATCTCCTGCCTTTAATTTTTTTTTGCTTATTATTTCTTACTTTCTCTCTGCATTGTATTTAGAAACCTGAGAGGAAACAGCAAGACAAGTATGTGTACAAAAACAATTTATTAGAAATACAACTTTTATGAATAGTACTGTATATAAAGCAGCAGTTAAACATGTAAGAAAAATATGAAATATTTATCAGCATAGAAGTTTGGACACACATTGGTAAGTCAATGTTATCTGAATTGGTTAAAAAAAACAACTGTTACCCTAGAGCTATTGATAGTAAAAATGTCTGTAACACCATTTTCTTTACTCAGAAGAATGAGAAAATCCACTTGTTCATTTCTCAGGGAAAAGCATTATGTTTATTCATCACTGTACTTGGTTCATTTTCTAGAAAAAATCAGATACCAATATAAGATAGTCAAGTGAGATGGAGACTATTTTTTAAAAATCATTATTTGTTGTCAGGCTATTTCTGTTCCACTGATTACCTTTAATTAATACACTTTGTTCCATCAGGACTCACTTGTCTGATTTTTCTACACAATTTATCTGATTTCAAAAGCCTTGGGGATTTTCTGTCCAATTCAAATTTATTATTTTAAATGCTGGTTGATAAGCCTTATTTAAGGGTACAAAGGTTGAGTTCAACACACAGGAAATCAAAGAACACTAGGGAAGCCAAGAAATTGTGCTCTATATATTATTTCTTTATGTATGAATCTCTTGGCAATTCATCACATTTTCTTACTATCAATCTTCTCCCCTTCTCTTTGTTTTCTAAGAACAAGTATTATAATAGATTACCAACTGCAGCCAAACAATTTTACAACCAGCACTATACAACAACCTTAGTCTTTCAAACTACTTTGGTCAATAGAAGGTCTTCAAGATTGATTTGTAAGATTTAGAATGACAGAATATCAATCTAATCCCATGTGTGATTGGTTTTTTTAAATGCCCCTATGACAAAAATACAAAAACACAAAGGGAAATCAAAATAAAATGAAAAGGGAAAATTCAGTATATTGGTTATTTTGGACAATGGGGTTATTGAGAGTTTCTAGGCAATATCTAGAAATACTTTGAATACTTTTAATAATTGTATTAAAAGAAAACTGGTTTTCAAAGCTAAGTTCACTCCAATTGGCACAGCTCAGTTTACTTGTTAACTTATTGTAGCATGGTTCCTATGCTTACCTATCATCCAATCTTGTTTCAAACACCCTTCTAAATCTTGCCAATACTTTTATATCATACTTATTTTATTTTATCCTCGATTACAACTAGATCTTTCACTATATAAATATATTTTATTATATTAACATTACTTAAGAAAAACAGTTATTGTTCATCACAATGAATCATTATGCCCCATTTTTATTAATTTTTTATTTAAAATTTTCCATATTGATGCTTTTTTGATGTAAATAAAAAAGCCAAATATACAGTATTTCAAAGCAATTTTTAATATGAATAAATCAAAGAGAATTCCTATTCTAATTTGATCTGAGATGACTGGAGAGGGATGCCATAAGTTTTCAATAATTTTATAATTAGTTATTGTTTTGTGATACTGATTCAATCATACTCTCTACTTAGATGATCGTTTTGCAATTCTCTGCCTAAAGTCTTTCCGGACTGAAAAACTGCCAAATAAATAAAATGAACTTACACATACTATATTAATAAGTCAACTTAAGTTATTTTCTTAATATAAGGAAGCCTTGATTAGCAAGACATTTAATCACATAAAATAAATTCCAATGAGATTCTTTTATTAACTTATACAAGTAGTTCTCAATTAACAAGTTCATTAAGTGACCATTGGAATTTACAACCCCACTGAAAAAACCATTTCCATTTCCAAAAACCGCTGACCATTTTTCACATTTATGCCCATTGCAGTATCCCCATGGTCAAGTGACCAAAATTCAGACACTTGGCAACCGACTCATATTTATGACTTTTGCAGTGTCCTGGGATCATATAATCATCTTTTGCAACCTTCAGACAAGCCAAGACAGTGGGGAAGCCAGATTCACTTAACAATTGTGTTACTAACTTAACAATTGCAGCAATTCACTTAACAACTGTAACAAAAAAGGTCACAAAATGGAGCAAAACTCATTTAAAATGTCTCACTTAGCAACAGAAATTTTGGGTTTAATTGTGGTCCTAAATCGAGGACTACCTATACATTTACTCTTCAAAACATGTTTTATGTCTCTAGAATATTACACAGAGTAAAAAAAGTAATCACTTACCATTCTCAAATCGTGAATTCCAATACAAAGGCAACAATTCATGGCTCATTTTACTGCATTCCTGTTGACTGCATCTGACTGCCACTCCCTCCCAAAATGTGGATTTGGGCAAACTAGAAGGCAATTTCAATAAGTTAAATGTACGTAGTTAGCCAAATATATTACCATATAAGATTGTCAGATTGTGAGTTTGTTTAATTTATTTATAACTTATATTTATTATTGTCCTGACACATTTCTGTGCCACATTGTTATATTACACATCTCTAGATCTGTATCTCCCAGGTCATTCTAGTGGGACTTGGTTTTCTTGTTGGAGAGTGACAATGTGATCTGAGAGATCATAATATTGATCAGATCACACCCTGGTCACTTTGAGATTCTCTTGTGCTCCCCTCATCCACATGGAGACTGCACTCATTCAATTGGACACCTGATGACTAATGGATCCAACTGGATTTCAAAGGAAGTTGGGAGAAATATCTTCCAATTTGCTACACGGTCCTGCAGAGGCCCTGGCAGCTGCCTGGAATAAGAGGTCACCTAGGCAGCCTCTTCTGGCTCATCATTCCCATTACACCACGTGGTTTGCAGAGGAGTTGACATAGTTGAAAAGAGATACCACTGAGAGAAAACGAAGAACGAACTCGACCAAACATAAGTTAAGGCTGCTATTAAGGTTTACCTTGTGGCAGTAAGAGCAGCCTGGCATCAATACTTTGCTCTTATTGCACCTACAGAAGCCATCCATTGATAGGATCACCCTCTCCTTAGAAAGGGGAGTCTACAGGTCCATGCAGAGGAATTATCCAGGCATCTGGAGGATAAAATCATTTGAATTTGTTCCAATTGGATATTGTGTGGTGTAAGTTCTGTAGAGATGCCCAGAGAGCAGAACTATCTAGTTATCTGGGAACTGTTTAATTTGGTTGGACATAAAGAAGTGGACAGGGTTCAGTGGAATGCAAATGCTACCACCCTTCGATACATGCTCCTCCTGGCTGGGGAAGGCTGCTCAGGAGATATCATGTGGGTGGTCCAAACAATGGGGAATTTATTCTTGTTGGAGGAGGTGTTCCTAGCTTGTTTTTTTCCTATTCAAGAAGCCATCGCTACAGCCTACCATTCTGAACAGATTTAGTCCAATTTCCCACCTCTCCGTTTTGGGAAAGGTAGTTGAGAAGATGGTGGCATTGCAACTCCAGTGGATTCTGAAGGAAATGGATTCTCTGGATCCATTTTCAGTCAGGTTTCAGGTCTGGAAATGAGACCAAAATGGCATTGGGTGATCTCTGATGGGAGTGGGATGGTGGTGGTGCATACATCTTGCTCTTCTTGATCTCTCAGTGGCTTTCAATACTCCTACTTTGAGGAGTATCACAGGTCTTGGTGTTCTCTCCATTCCTTTTTAATATCTACCTGAAACATTTAGGTGATTTCATCTGTCACTAAGGGATGAGGTATCAACAGTTCTCTTTATATCCATCTGTCCCAGGTGAAATATGTGAGTTGGCATTCTTTTGCAGTGCCTGGAGGCTGCAGAAGCCAGGATGGGGAACAGCAGACTTCAGCTGACCCTGGTAAGACAAAGTGGCTGTGGGTGGACCCCTCTATATTCAGAAATTTATCATCTTGGTCTTCGATGGTGTTGCATACTTCAGAAACACCCAGTACATAACTTAGGGGACATCTTGGACTCCCATCTCTTGCTCAAAAGCCATGAAGCCTAGCAGCCTAGGAAGGCCTTTGCTCAACTCATGTTATGTGCCAGTTCATCCTCTCCTGAATAGGAAGGCTCTCTCCTTGGTCACTCATGCCCTGGTCATCTCCTATTTGGATTACTGAAACATGCTATCCTTGAAAAGAATCTGGAACTTCAGCTGGTACAAAATGTGGGGCTGTATTTAGCACTCAAGGAAGAGCACCTGTAACACCTCTGCTCTGCAAACTGCATTGGGTTCCAGTTTACTTCCAGGTCAAATTCAAGTTGTTGGTTATCACCTATAAAGCCCTACAGGGCATGGGGCTAAACTACTTACAGAACTGGCTTCATCCCATTACTGTATTTTTTGGAGTATAAGACGCACCTTTTTCCCTCAAAAAAGTGGGTGAAAATCTGGGTGCGTCTTATACACTGAATACACCACTTTTGGCCTACCAAAACCTTTTTAATTTACCTCTTCAAAATAATGGTACGTCTTATAGTCTGAAAAATATGGTACATTGGTCCATCCCACCCAGTCAGCTAGGGAAGGTATGTTGCAGATCCTGTCAGTTAAAGAACTCTGACTGGTGGGGTCTAGGAAGAGTGCCTTCTTTGCTGTTGGCGCCACTCTATGGAATATACTTTCACTGGAGGTGAGGCGGGCCCCCAACCCTCCCCAAAAAGGGTTAAAACATGGCTGTGACCTTTCATGGTGTACAGCACAGTCATGGGGTTAGTTGGTGCCATGAGGGCCCTTCTTTTACCTTTGTCAAATGATTTTAACAGGGTCTAATTATTCTTGCCTCAACATTTTTAAAAAAATAAAATAAAATTTATAATTCTAAAATTTTAACTGTAAGATTTTAGTGTTTTTTATACTGTTTTTATATTTTGATGCTTTATTGTACAGCACCCATAGTCCCTCTTGGAAGGAAATGGGCAGTTCAGAAATGTGAAAAATAATTAAATACATAAAAATAAATATCAGGTTGTATTAAAACATCCAAAATATATTCACTAGTAACGATTAGTAAGAGCGTTAGTTTGATGCAATGGTTGAGGTCAGGCTAGAAACTAGAAATTGTGAATTCTAGTCCTACCTGGGTCAGTCACTTCCTCTCAGCCATAGAAAGGAGGCAATGGCAAACCACTCCCAAAAAACCTCAACAAGAAAATTGCCAATCAAAAATTAACTCAACTACACCATTTAAAAAAAAAACCCATTGTATCGGAGAGATGATGTCAAACATATAATAGATTAACAATTTTTCATTGCAATTAATTTGAAATAAAGTTAGTGAATGTTTGTCTCTGGAAGCAGAATTGTTTTCAGTATCAGAACTACAGCAGACAACAGTGTTTTCCTGGCTGATACTGAAGCTCAGGCAGTTCTCCGCTGCTACAAAAGCTGCTTCATGCAGCACCATGGTTCCTTGAGTTCTTCATATAAAGCAACCATGTTGCTATGCCATTGCCTCGGGCTGCCTGAAACTCCTCCCAGCTTTTTGCAGAATTTGTGCTATGAAAGAGAAGCCTCATTTGGCAAATGTTGTAGAAATGTAATGCACCCTCACACAGCATTAGTCAAAGCATTTCTAGGTTGGGCACTTTAAGAAAATGGTGCAGGATTGCTCTAAGTATGCGTTGAAGGTGCCTAACTGCTGGCTTCCAAAGATATTCCAGACTGGATAGCTTCACCAACTCCTGCAAGTAATCTTAAATTCATTGAGCTTAAAATTACTTCAACCAGTACTAGTGGAGATGGAAAATTTGACAAAGCAAATTGGGTGACCAAACCAAAACAAATCCATTCATTTACATAGGTATACTATTTACTGTATGATGTCTTACTACTTATACTGTGCATTATGTGATTCTGGATTTCTTTAATAAATATGTATTTTATCTGTATTTGTGTGTGCACATATAACAGTTGGAAAATATTGCAGAGAAAATTATGGATAATATAATCTATCAAAGCAGAGATTCCCAAGGAGTAAAAAGACGGGAAGGATAGAAAAAAAGACTACTCTGAGTTTGTGCCTTTTTTCTGAAGTCCCTGATAATGTTTTAAGACAATAATGATGGAAATTGTGTACTGTGCACATCATTTGCAACATGATAGGCCAGATGTAATTTGTGCTATTTACATATTTTTGTCACAAGATACACAATGTCATAATGGCTTTTACTGGAGCCTCACCTGCTTGGGTAACTTTTTCTTTTTTTTCTGCTATATGCAGCAGCTAGGAATGTACATCTATATTTTATTAAAAGGCCCTGGTTTGGTAAATCCATCTTAAAAATCTGCTTGTACAAAGTGGCAGCATAGATACATATACTATATTATTTGTGGGTCAATGGGTGTGCTTGTGGGATTCTTACATAGGATATATTTTTCCTGACTGTATTTTTCTGACCACTATTAAGTTTGAGTTTGAGTTTATTCAATTTGTAGGCCGCCCTATTCCCCGAAGGGACTCAGGGCGGCTGAACAAAAGCCAAGGGAGG